AGTCTGTACTCCAGCTGTAAGTATGCACTGATGTATGTGTTTGCACGTAAATAGGAAGTTGTTGCAACAGATGTGCAATATGTTCTCGACGCAGCTTGAGCTTTAATCGCGACGCGTCGGTTGCCTTACAAATGGGAATGTGAACGCAATGAACTCGGATTTAAAATAGGCTAGACGACGACCGCATAGCTACACAACATACATACATACACGTACATACATATAAATAGTAGGCACAGTTGGAAGAAGGAGTATACAGCAGTACTCGTATGTATACATATATATGCACGTATGTGAGTATATCCACGAGTACTCGCACGTTTGTGCGAGATTTCAAAGCAGTAAATTGTGGCAAGGTAAGTTCCTTTGATGCGTGGCAACTATTTAGCGGCACCGAAGCCTAGTGTTGGACAGCAGTTCCCAAATAGAGAAAGATTAGTGTTCTGAGCGCTTGCACTTATTGGTGAAAACATTTTGATATAAATAATATAAATATAACTCAATGACTGAGGTATAGAAGAATAACGAATTTGTGTCTCTCTTTCACACATAAAGAGTCAACTTCCGTAGGTGAACTCATTGAGATTTAGTTCATAACCTCTTGAGGCTCATAAGATCTATATTGGAGCCACTATGTATTGTCTGATGATCTACCAAAATTTCTTGATAAAAATTCTTGGTTCCCTGAAATAAGCTTTCATACACCAAGATCAAAGCTTTTCGGGAAAGCTAAGCCTACTTTATTTCACACTTCCGCTCTTTTTTGGAGCTTTTGCTAAACTTTTATACATTATGTATTTTACAGATTGTGCACCACTGGGGTATGATTCCTCTGTTTTTTTTCCATCACCTCCAACCATAAACTCTACCATCCCCACTCTCCACTGGGTATGTAAGAAATCGAATGAAGGCGGAGGGCTGAATCAAAGAACGCACACAATGTAACATTTGCGCGAAATGAAAATTACTGATTAGAAAATTCATATAATTTCGCAAACGATTTACGTAGTTTAATGGATTCTTAGAGGCGGATTATGCAGAAGATTGCAGCAGTGCACATTCACAGCCACATTCTCTGGTCCACAGTGAGAAGTGGAAGTGAGAGCCATAAGTTGCCTATATTTGTATGTACGAGTATGTTTGTATGTAGTAAGACCGTATGGCAATTGTGAGGGTGAGAAAAGACAGACAGACAGACAGACACATAGACTTGTGATGGACAGCAGTTGAATGGTGAAAAATACAGCAAAAGAGTTACATTCAAGTGCAAGTGCAACGGCAAGGTAAGGTTGTAAGCGGAAATTGATGGTAAGGAAGTACAAACATAAATTCCAAGCACACACTTACATGCACATGTACATACTTACTCATTTTTTCATTATATATTATTGAGAAGGAATGCTTCGTTTAAATATAATTGCTTTTGTTGTTAGTGTTAATAGTGGGGGCTGTGTACAAATGCGTTGCTTATTAAATCAAAAGCAACAGCACATATATGTATATGTGTGTATATGTGTGTGTGTCTTCATCTAAGTGAAATATTGTATAAACTTGAATGCCCACGGACAGCTGGGTGGATACGTTGTTGCGTACATCCAATACATTGCGGGGAACACAATTATTATACATACATACATACATTCATACAAATGTACATACGCGCATGTAGTTATGCAAGAATTTTAGATTGATTACAAGACCGCTGTGGTACTGCGACCTGTCTCAACCTGAGTCTGTCTATTTAGGAAATTCTTTTTTATTTGAAAGTGTCTACTTGGCGCTATGAAATAAAGATTTTCAAAAGAAAATATGAAAAATTTCGAATGCATAGAATAAAAAGCTTTAAAAAATCTTAAAAAATAAAACAAGAATAAAACTTTGCTTACTTTTTTTTGTGACAACTTCGGAACAATTTTTTAAAACTTTTCCTAAATTTTTTTTCTAAAATTTTCTGATAACTTTTTAACTGTTTTTTTTTTAAATATTTTAATTTTTTTTATTTTTTTAATAATTTTTTTTTGTTTTTATTTTTTTTTTATTTTTTAAATTTTTTTCATGCTTTTTTGCTCTACAATAACTCTCATGGAAGGCGTGACCATCAGAGATCTTCTGTCTGACCTTCGCTTGCCGGGGGCGATTAACGCGTTTAAGCCCTTCAAGCCCTCGTGACCATCAGCTCTGGTCAAATACAAAAAAGCTCTGGGCATATCTTGCAGATGTCTTGCTGCTATCTGCGCGAACTATATGAGACTAGCATTCATTCCCAACTAGTAAAGGGAGACTTATCAGTCTTTTCTGTTGAAAACTCTTGAAACTCTGATTTACTTCTATATAAAAGTGCAATTCTTTAGAATTGTCTTTCAAGTGCACAAAATGCATATAGCAAAGGATGGTCGGTGGACACCGCTCTAGGAGTAACCCTGCATTGCATGGATTTTAGAGTGCTCAACTCAGCTGCAATCTCAGGTAGGTTATATTTAATATCAGTTCTAAATCTATCTGAATCGGAAAATTCATGCCTCTACAACAAATTGCTGGTGGAAAGTGATGCTGGTGAATATGATTTGACGCCCGTGGGTAAGGAAAAATTCCTAAGTATCTTGTGTGATCTCATGTTTGTTAATAAGGTAAAAAAGTGGCAGCCGGAGCTGGACTTGAAGACCCGATTTAAAATAAACTTTTGATATCCCCAAGGAGATATGGTATCCCACGTTCGGATGCATTTGTTCTTTTTTGTCACATTATAAAGCGAAAACTACTCTTGAGAGGAAACTGTTTTGGAATGCAAATACCGGGGAGAGAAAGATTAAAGCATTTGTAGGTGCAGATCCACTATCAGTAAGACCTTTCTTCTAAAGTACTGCGCTAATTCTACAAAACAATAGTTAAACCTACTTGACTTTATTTAGTTTTCCTTTGTTGGAAATCCTCAAAAAGAGAAACCTATGCTAAACAGCTAAACACGTGGCTCCCATCAGCGTCGGTGTGGAGCTTTACGAACTACTCCAAGCCAGGCGTTCACAGTCATGCATAGTACAGTGTCTGTGGCTGCTGTCTGTGGTTTGGTTGCTGTAAAAGTCGCTGTAAAATCAAGAGAGTATGGATCATGGATTGGATTACGCGTGGGGCACTCCGTTTATCTTGAGGGGCTCAAATTGATAACCAGATATCTGGATTTGCTACTTCTACACCATAATCCACTCACGCGAGGACTGGCGGGTAAAGGACCACTTAACAAATGGTTCGAAGCTTAACAGAAAGAGTCGGCAAATAGCTATGCATATGTTGTGGGTTTAAGTTTCTAGACCATTGTCGTGATTTCTTTGGCGGAAGTAGCTGCCATCAAGAGAGCGGTGAACATATTGTTGCGAAGTGTGGTTTCCGTAAGACCGGTAAGCATTCACTCAGACAACCAATGAGTTATTAAGGTTTTATGCGCTCTCAAGGTGAGTCTCAATGTTTTAATGTGGGAACCGGGTTATAGCAAAACTACTGGGAACTGAAATATCGATGAGCTTGCACGCATGGACACCAACGGTTCGTTAATGCTGGATAAAGAGAAAAGAAAGGTGCGAGCGCAGGGCCGGGAGCTCAATATGTGTGGTTGCAAGATCTTCATTGCCTATGGTAGACTGCGAAAGGTCAAAAAAGCTTCTTCCTATATCAACAATAAAGCTATCAGACATGTTGAAGACTTTCCCTCGACCAACGGACAATTAAAATAAGCTAATATGAGGTGTGTTATATATAGGGTTTTCAAATAATAGGTGTTGTTTTGATATTAAAAAAATGCATTTCTTGAGCTAAATGATCGCAAGTTTATTTCAATGTAAAAAATAAAAAGACCTAATAGAAAGCAATATCAGCCCGTTTGCTTTTTTATGAAATTTCAGCAAATCGCCAAAATGGCTGCAGTTCGGCCTTAATAACTTCACGTATCTCAACTTTGAGGTTTTGAATCGAAATTGGCTTACTGGCGATGACCTTCTCTTTCACGTAGGCTCCAAGAAAGAAGTCGCAAGGTGTTAAAGCACAAGACCTCGCTGGCTGATTGCCATCAACTCTTCAAGCGATAACACGGTCCGGAAACTTTTTCCTGGAACGATCGATGCTTTCATTGCTTTTTTTGTGGCACGCTACGCAGTCTTGTTGGAAGTAAACGTTTTCCAGTTCAATACCATACAATACCGGCTATAAAAAATTATTAATCATATGCTCATTATCTACTAACTCCAGTCTCAGTTTCGAAAAACTAAGATCTAATAACCTAGACGGACCATAAACCGCATCGAAAATGCACACGTTGAGGACGGTGAGGCTTGTCAACAATAAATCTTTGATTTTTCGAGCTCCACATGCTTATTGACGTCACTATAGAAGTGGAAATCATCCAAGATGATTTTTCGATGAAATTCCGTATCATTTAAACGCTTTCGAGGACCCATTCAGCAAAATTCTGATTTCTTCTAATATTATGTATTTCTTGTATGAAGTGAACTTTACATGCCTTAAGAACCAAGTCTTTATGCAAAATACGATGTAATGCCGTTTGTGGAATACCCAATTCCGAAGTACAACGAGGAATGGACAAATCTGGGATTTCTTCAGCACTTCGGGCTACGACAGCAATACTCTCAGTTGTTCTTAAGTGACGTGTAGGCTTTTATTGTTCGCATCACAAAATTGTCCCAACAGCTTCATTTCTTTCACCAATTTATGTATAGCGGTCCAGCGAGGTGCTTCACGACGGCCGGATAATTATTTAGTTTTACGAATCATCTCTAGGATTTCACCTATTTTTCCACGACGTCTAGAAAATGTTTTAGTTCTACGAAACGTCTCTAGGTTCTCACAAGCATTGTTGAAGCGTGTATCGTTCCAACTTCAAAAGTGACATCTACCGGAATGGCAGGTCAATCCAAATTAGTTCTCTTATTTAAAACTCTTCAGTAAAAACCTCAAATAAATTTATGAGAAAACCACAATGCATATTCGCTTACCTTAGAGAAGCCGATATTTGGTGTTGGTGCATGATGTATTGAAATGTCGTGTCGTTTGAAAACTAAAAGGAAAAAAGAGAAAAAACAGCCAAATTAAAATGTGAAATCATGCAAAATAGATTTTAAATTTGATTTGTATCTGTTCGTATCAGTCGTCTTTATGCTCCAGTGAACCAATCTATCTGGTTTCAGCGCATCTGGGGACAATTTTTGACTGAAATTCCTACTCATTTCTACTCGATCCGTATAGATTTTGACGAGCGCATCCCTTTGCCTTTTGGTACTAATATAATTCGGACCAAAGTAAAATCACCATTTCATGAGCATAAAAAGTATAAAAAGAAGATATTTATAAGTTTCACTTCCTCATCAGAAGTGTGAAGATTTGTTAGTTGCACTGACCACAGAGGAGGTCAATATTTTACACGTTTATTAGCAACTGCATACTGAATATCACAAATTAATAATATTTAAAACTCAAGCTAGCATTAGAGAGGGATAAACAAACATAGATGGACACACACACACACACTGCCATGCATTGACGAGGTGCAACAGCCCAAGGGCATTCACACTGTGGGCCAATACAACCAACCGACTGAGCTTTCACCTTTGCTCATCGTACAAATATTGGTCTCCAGCAAACAGCGCAACTTAAGAAGTCGAAAATGTACGAAAATAAATACAAATATAGAGCGATATTGAATGCTTCCGCTATTTAACTAAGCAGCCAGTCAGTCGTCTTGTGCGCTTGCGTAGCGTCTTTTGTTTTAGCAGTTTGTGTTTGAACACAAATTTTGTACTGTTCGAGCAATTATGTACACAAAGAAGAGCGAAGTAACTGAAATGAGCCGTGAAACTGTTCAAAGAAATGAGTAAAAGAACTTCTGGCCGCAAATCAAATTGGCAACTGCATAAAACTTAGCGATCTAGATCAACTTTCCGCTGTGCTTTCGCTCAATATTTATCTAGTATTCTGTTTTCTGACCATCTGTGGGCCACGCAAACTAAAGGTTCAGCATTTCGCTTGCAAACACAAATTTTCACAGCTGCACAACAATATTTGCGCTTCCTTGTACGTATTGCCACCTGAAACTAACAGTTTGGTAACAGGAGAGTAGGTATGGACTGGAAAAGCATTGGGCAAAATGGAAGTTAGCAACAACATAACAGCTAATTTTCGCAACTTCAACACAAACAACTCACAAGACCCTCTGAAGTTAATTGGTAAATATTTGCCATAGGTCACACAGTTTACACTTTGGCTTGGTAAAGCATATTGCACCTTATCTGCCACAAATACAAATACTGCGGACTCTGATTTTTGTACATGTTGCCGTTTAAATATTTTCTTTTAATTGAACTACTGGCCATCTGCTCATAAGTTCTGTAATATTTTCTTTACTATTAATTCATTTACTTATTCCCTTCGTTCATAAGGACGATATAAGGGAAGCTAGAAAAAATTAAATAATATAGATTAAAATAAAATAAAATAAAGTTAAATTAAATTAAATTACAATATATAAAATAAAATAAAATAAAATAAAATAAAATAAAATAAAATAAAATAAAATAAAATAAAGTTAAATTAAATTAAATTAAATTAAATTACAATATATAAAATAAAATAAAATAAAATAAAATAAAATAAAATAAAATAAAATAAAATAAAATAAAATAAAATAAAATAAAATAAAATAAAATAAAATTATAGAATGAAAATTAAAATAAAACAAAGTAAAATTAAATAAATTAAAAATAATTAATTTAAATGAACATGAAGAAAAATTAATTAAATATATAAAATAAAATACAATTAAACAGAACAAAATGCAAAATTAGAAAAAATAAAAACAATAAGAGACTTAAAAATTTAAGAAAAAATATATTAAATCAAGTTCGATAAACTTGAAAAACAGTAAAATAAAAGGGAAGATAAGACAAAATAAAATAAAATAAAATAACAAAGAAGAATGTAAAAAATTAATTAAATTAAATTAATATTATTAAAGACAAGACAAAACGAAAGAAAATAATATAAAAAATTTAATTAAATTAAATAATGCAATAAAATAAAATAAAAAGAAATGTAACAGAAAATAAACTTTTTTAAAATAGATTAAAAAGAAAATAAATTTAAGAAAATCAATTAAATTAATTAAAATTGAGTTAAAATAAAATAATAATACAATAAAAAAGCAAAGCAGCAGCCCTAATGTGCAATTATGTTTACCGCATTCACTCTTATTTATTTGAGTTATCTTTTTCGCCGACTGCAGGTAATTACGGAAATTGTTTTTCAAGAGATTCCTTTGCAAAGATGGATACAAACAAATATTTATATGTTCATACATTAGCCAATTTTCTATTATTTGTGTTTAACGCAGTGTTTTGGCAATCCATTATTTTTAGTAATGCCATTTTGGGCACACATACATATTTATATTTATATTGAAAGCTGTGTGTAAGACTGTCTACATATTTTCCGTGAGCCGCTAAAGCCAATAGTAGTAATTGTTAAATGTACAAGAAAATCACACGCACATACACATACACATGTGGTATCGATTTGTTTAGATAAGCTGGACTGTTTACCTTCTGCTTAAGAGTGCTTGTGCCCATTCTCTACACAATTGACTGAAATTAGCAATATTCTCACCATTTCTGTTCAACGTAATTGACTGAATTACTCCCAGAATTTATCTTTCATCTGAAGAATAAAAAAAACTTTAAGCGCGAATTGCCTTAGCATTTCACTAATCATCTTCACTCAAAACCTTATTATCAGTAAAGCCGAAATTTATATTTTTTTAACTTTTTTTAGTTAACATTTTATATGTTGGAAGTTGGAAAGTTTTTACTTTTGTTTTTCTTTTTGGTAAAGTTTACTCCAAATGTTCGATGAAAAGCTAACAAAGGAGTTTTTTTCATTAAATCAGTTGGAAATTTATAGTTAAAATAAAGTTCTTTTTACACTGCTTCTCTCATAAAAACTTGTGCTATTGGAAATATATAATTTTTATTCAAGAACTTGGAGATATAAAAATGAAGCTAATAGTTTTGACACAAAAAAAAGCTTAAAGTAAAAAATATTTTTTCCATATTAAATATTTATAAATAATTTATAATAAAAAGTAATTTACATTCAAATTGCAGACTTAGCGCCGGCTCAAATTGTTTTGGCGCAATTTTTTCAACAAACGTATGTAAATATTCTGCGAAAATCATAAATAAAAATGTATATACAGAAATGCCATAAACATATATATATATAATATATACTAGTATATATGTGAGATATGTCGCAAAACTAAATATATGTTCAGTGCGATCTTAAATCATTCTTTTAATTCAACTTCATAACATTTCATTTATTGCAATTTATTTGCTTACAATTACTTTTGCAACAACTGCCAGGTGTTTGCTTGCTGGGTGCGCCCAAGTACGTTGCTCAACTACACTCATTATACTTAACATTGAAAAGTAACAAAATTTCCAATTCAAATTAATGACAAAATAAAAAAAAAAAAAAAAAAANAAAAAAACAAAAAAAAAATTTTGTAATTACAATAAATTGACTTAATAATAGGCGGCAACAAAGAAAATCATATTGTCAATCTAGCTAAAGTTGCATATATACATATATATGCATATATATGTGCGAGTAGACTCACATAAATTGCTTTCGTTTGTGCTGTTTTTTTTTTTAATTATTTTGATGCGCTTACTATGTATTTTTATGTAATTGGAAAATTTTGCAAATCAATTTTAGTTAATTCTCTACAGTGACTGTTTGATGCCCCTGAGTGCCTTTGTCATTGTTTTTAGAATTTTATAAACAATAATTAATGATGAACCAATTGAAGCACTCAGGCGTTGCAATTGAGCATTTGCTAATATATAGAGAGTTCTGTGTGTATATAATGTACACATATACAAATTTAAATGTATAATTTAAATAGAATGAGCATATTTACTCTTATATCAATGTGTTTTGCAATTATACTATACATTACAATACACGAATTCAGAACTTTTCTGAAGCAAGTTCGTGTCATAAGTCTTTTGTTTGCATTGACTCCAAGCAGTGATTGAATAAATGTTTAAATATTATTTATGGCATGCAAAATAATTAAAATTGGAGAACCTAATTTAAAAACCGATTAAGAAAATATAATTTTAAATTTAAAAAAAAAATTAAAGAAATTAATAGAAATTAAATTAAAAAACTAAAAAAAAATAAAAAATTCAATATTACCTCTTGTTTTAGTTAAAAATTAAGTAGAATAAACTGCTTTGCCTTAATTTTGTAATTTGCTTCGTTATCAATTTCAATTTGTGTCTCGTAAATACTTTAAAGAGATTTAATTGATTTCACTTGGGAAATATGCAAAACAATGTCGATATTGCAAATAATAATACAATAAAATATTTTTATATTTGAATTGGGTTTTCCCTATCAGCAAAAGTAAATCTTTCTAAAATAGGAATATATTAATAGTTAATATTGTTAAAGAGGAAAAAAATTATATTAAGAAAAAATGTGGTCAACGTTTTACAAATAATAAAATTTTAGCTGATGTTTTTTCATTACTTTGCTTAATAAAAATATGTATGTTGTTTTAAATAATATCAAAATATAGCCAAATTTCTGAAATTTTAGTTCTTTCTTTTATGTATCATATTTATATATTATATATTTTAAAAATTTAAATAATTTTTTTTTTGTTTATGTTTTTTTAATTTAAATACTTTAAAATTATTTTAAATTATATTAGTAATAATTTGGATAAGTATAATTCAGCTTTGAAAGTTTTTGTTGTATTACCCGCGGGCTATATCTCACTTTGTTGGAAAGACCAGTTAGAAAAAGTCCTGCACCTTCGTGGTATTTCCCATTAGCCCCAAACAGCGAAAAGTCTACGTCTACGCCAGTAAAAAAGGTTTTTTTTTTGTAAATTTATATTTTCTAGGATATAAATATTTTCAAATTGAATATTTCTTTAAATGAAATTATTCTAAACTTTAAATTTTTAATACTTTATATTTTTTAAATTAC